AGTCCTTCATCACCTTAAACGAAATAGAGTGAATACATCTCATATTACTGATTTACTGGTAGTTTTGAAAATCTACTCAAATATGAAAAATATTTGATCTTGTTTTGGCAACTTGGTCTAGCAGACATATGTTCAAAGGATCGGCCTTACTTGCCTCCTTGACGAGTTGTAGTGTGGTGCTGAATTCCTCTCGATCTTCCTGCCAAAATGACCAAGTTTTGAAACAAGGATAAACATCTACTGTATTTTTAATATGTTTTCCGATTGGATCCACCCTGCACTTTGGCATAAAATATCAGTCTTCACAACCATCGGTAAAGGGTGAATACGACCCTGAATCAATCTGAATCGTTCAAGATTTGAAAGGTCTCGGAACACAGGCGAAATCCACTTGATCTTTCTTACTTTCCAGCATATTTTCCATCCTTCGCTGGAATCACTTTGCGAAAAAACGTGAAATTCACCGGTACCCTTAGACCAAAGATGAACCTAAGCGAGATATTCTCCGCTCTCTGTGCCCACTCACCATGGTAACGGGTAGAATGCGTGCATCACAGTGTAGCGAGATGGGAATGGTGAAGCTGAGCTGTCGCGGAAAGGTGACTCGCAGGCGTGCCTCGTAGGCGTTCTCGCCCAGGTTCCCGACGCCGATGGTCAGGTTGCGCAGAGTGTTCCAGTCGCGGAAGTAGACGAGTCGTGGATCCCGAGCTGAAGGTCCTGGGAAACTGGCGTCCGGCAGCATGGAGGCCATCATGCGGACCTGCAAATCGGCCATACAGCGGCTGTCCCTACCGCAGGCCGGGTTGGCGAACTGCAGGGCTCGGCTGGTGAAGTTGCGGCCGCCCAGGAAGGGATGCAGACTCCAGGCGGCCGTCTCCAGAGCCAGACCAGTCACGACGTCGGGCATCGGCTCCGCCTCGGGCTCGAGGCGAGCGTGCAGAACCAGCGGCTGCCAGAGGTTGTCGCGCACGGCCTCGAAGTCGGGCTCTACCGTCGCCTCGAAGAGGACGATGCGTCGGGCGTCGTCCGCCCCGTCCCGAGTCGCCTCCGGCCGTAGCGGGACTCGAACCCGACGCGAAAAGAGTCCGCCTCCGACCGACTGGCTCGCTCGTGCGCCGACCTCGAGCAGCCGTCGAGCCCGGCCGTCGAGCAGGGCTGAGTCGAGGTCGACTCGAAGCAGCAAACTGACGGTCTGACTGGCGTCGGAGGCGGCCGACAGGTAGGGCCTCCCGCGCACCGCGACACTCAGCCGGACTCGGAAGCGACAGCCGGCGCCACAGGGCCGCTGGACGTTGGGCCCACTGGAGTCCACGGCCCAGGTGAGAGTCGGCTGAGGCGGCAGCTCCCAGACGGGAGAGTCGAACCAGATAAGACTACGCGATCGGATCACGGCCACCTGATCGGAAGAGGGATACACGAAAACTTGGTCATGTTGTCAGGCGGGCCTACATAAGGCTCCGAAAGTCCGAATCCCCCAACAAGAAATGTACTTATTTCATCATTTCTAAACAAACTAACACAAGTTTTTACTCAGTTGGCATTTTCAAAACAAGATCACATAATTGTGGTGCTTATGTACATTTCGAGTGAAACTGTTTGGTGAAGAGATTCGAAGGTGGATTGCACCAGAAGATGACGGCGGATTCCTCTTGACCAGCTGTCAATTGAATTTACTGGAATATTCATGCTGACGCTGTTTCCGAGGCAATCTCCTTCAATTCCGGTGTAAAGGTGCTTAGCTTTCGTCCATCACGAAAACTCTTGACTCGTTAGCTTGAAATTGGTTGTGACGACGATACCTTGATCTGATGATGTTCGCCATATGACGGACGAAAGTTAGCATCTTTTCACCGGAATCGAAGAAGATCACCTCGGAAACAGCGTCAGCATGAATCTTCCAGTAAAGTCAATCGACAGCTGGCCGTCATCTTCTGGTGCAATCTACCCTAGAATCTCTTCCCAAAGACTTTCACTCGAAATGGAAATAAGCAAAACAATTATGAAACAAGAGCTTCCTCGAAGCCCAACTTTTCTTCACATAATATTACAAAATTTCTCCTCTGATATGTACATTAACCAATGTAAGCCCACTAATGCGAGTCAACAAATGTTGTTTTCTTTATAGTAAAATCAAAACGTCTCACTATTTGGTATTACCACAGTTGCCTGCAGGTTCTGTAAAATGTTCGAATCCATATTACTCCAGTACTCACTTAGGGAATCTCAGAGAATTCCATGTGATGAGGTTACAATATGTTTGACCACTTCCACTATTAAATGCTTCCAAGCATATTCTCAATGGAGTAGAGTTCTGATAATTTAGCCAGAAAGAAAGCCTGTAATTCAGTTTTCTTTCCACTTCGCAAAGGCCTACTTGATAATGAGAAGTAATGTAGTCTATTATTAAGGAAAATAGAACTTGCTAGGTCGCTTTAAAATTCACTTCTGCCAAGTGACCAAAGGGCACATTTGGCAGCATGGCGTGGTGGTTAACCGTCCCGATGGAGGCGTCAATGATATCAGTTCAGGCGAGTTCGAAACTGTAGTCCAGTCCAGCCGCGATGAGCACACCTTATGGGAAGCGGGGTTATGTGAAGTTCAATGGAAACGTCAGGTCTAGCCATGCGATTGTGTGAAAAGACATCATCAGCCAAATAGGGTGAACACAGTTCTTAATCAAGAGCTATTGGGAGTCTCGAAAACGTAAATACAAACCACTTCAAATAGGCCTCGTACAGCTTCAAGCATGTTTGGGATCAGTGGCCTGCCACAAAATGCACCAACCTCCAAACACAAATGTGCCAAAATGGATG